AAAATCTTAACAAAAAAAGATTTTTATTACAAAGAGAAATTTTTCATTAAGCAATTTCTCGTTGAACATCAGAAGTGTTAACTGTTCATTAAGCAATTGCTTTTTCTCGTTGAACATCAAAAGTGTTAACTGTTCATTCGTCCAATTTTCAGCTCTTTTTTTGGAATCTTTATTGCTTTCTGACACTAGATTAATAGGTTTTGTCAAAATATAAGCAGTAACATATTTACCATATTGCTATACTAAAATAACGTTATAAAACTCTATACATAAATATATAATATAGATATATTTATATATTATATTACATATATTTTATATACATAAAAACAAAAAAACCTACTTCTAAATAGTGATTTATTTATCTAAATAGTGAGTTATTTGTGTTACTTGAACTCGAACTTGGTTGTGTCAGCTATTTTGTGATAATTCCACCATATTATTTAGTGATCTGTGTAAATATTAGTTAATTTATACATTTATGTCTTTAAAATTGTTTTCTTATTACCTCATTTCTTTAGTAATTAGTAGATAATGTTAATTACTCAAGAAACTCTTGAGTTATCATAAGAGTGATCTAATGATAAAATGAAGTTTTCTAATTTTTCTAATGAAAAAATAATGGAATAAGTAAATACAAATAAGAAAATTAATATAAAAACGTTTATAAAATTTTATATAAAATATAAAAGCTTCACCGCAAACGGACGTGTTTTAGCTGCAAAACAAGGAAGTCAAAATGGCAAAAAATTTTACAACTGCTCAAGTAAAAGAAATTTTAGAACTTCATGATAGTACCATCTTAAAAATTTTTACTGATAAAATTGGTAGGTTGGAGAATAAAATTAATACTTTAAGTAATGAAAATATTTTTTGCGAACGAACAGGTCGACTTCGTAAAAAATTGTTTACAGACGCTAAAGACCTAAGACAAAAAGGTAAGTATGCGAAAGTTGTTTATAATAAACTGGTAACACGGGATTTTTAAAAGAAATTTTTTTATTTATCAAATAATAACAACAAATAAAATAAAAATGGATAACTCAAAAAATTCGGGTTTAAACTCTTTTGATTTATTTCAAACTAATGGTTTGTTAGACAACTTCAAATCGGACCCAGTCCATAACTATTTTATCGAAGCATGTGCATTAAAAAGCAACTGCTTGTATTATTATTTTAATGAGATGGAAGAAATTCTCATTTCAAATAATTTTAACATTGGGCATGTTAATATAAGAATCTTAACAAAAATTTTTGAAAACCTTTGTACAAATATAAAAGAATCCCTTAGTATTTTTAGTCTAATTTGCATGTCTGAAACCTGTTATAGCTCGGAAGTCTTAAATTCTAACTCAAATTACTGTTTACCAGGTTTCAAAATAATTCATTTAGAGCGTCATAATAATAGGTGAGGCGGTGGTGTAGTAATTTATATTAAAGAATGTTTGAGCTATTTAATAAGGCCTGACATGAGTAATTCTGATGACGATAAAGAGGTTTTAACATTGAACTTAAAACAAAAAAATAAAAAAAAAATTTAATTATAAGTTGTTTCTATCGCCTAAGGTTAGGATTATTGTAATTGTAATAAAAACAAAAACAGTAACAATAACTATTGTTATTGTATTAACTTAATTTAGAAACAATAACAATACCTGTGATTTACAACTATTGTAATAATGTAATGCAATAACAATAAATATTTGCAACTCATCTTTATAAAACAATATCAATATCTGAAAAAAAAAATGTATTGTAATGACCCACTACAACAACAATAAATATTGTATTGTAATTTGTCTTTATAATACAATAACAATATATTGTTATTGTAATAAAAAAAATTATTTTAGAGTCAAAATTTAAAAAATGTTTTAACAGTCCAGTCTCTGAGATAAGTGACCTTGAAATAGGGTACAAATAATATATAAGTATTGGTTCTGTTTCTTTTTTATTTTATAAACTTTATATAGCTCTATAAAAGTGAGTTTAATCGGGTTTGTATTTCTTTTATTGCTGGGGATAGACATGATCAATTACTATCATTTCTTTCACTTAGTTATTTGCTTTTACATTAGACACCCACCCAATTGTATCGAAACGGTTAATGGTTCTTTAACGATTCCATAACGATGTAATTGATTACATCGTTATGGAATTATGCGGTTAGATATATTGAAAAAAAAAGTGCTTAATGTAGTTAATCAATTTGTTTAGACGTCATCATCCGGTAAAACATGTCAATATCAGTTTAGACAAAATTATAAAAAAATATAAAATTTTACTTCTTAAAGTAAATAATTATTTAATTATTAGCATATGATAAATTATATACTTGTATGATTTTGAATGAATATTATTAATGTTAATTCTAAATATATTATTATTGAAATAGTTATATTATTGAACTCAAAATAAATAAAATTTATATATGTAAATGGTTTCTAGAAACCTAATATTTATTAAGTATACGTAATATATAAACTTCTTTGGCTTCCCTGGCTTCACTTCACTTCTCAAAATAAATAAAATTTATATATATAAATGACTGCTGAAAACAAGCGTCACGGGCTCCCCTAAATTATCTAGTGCCCAAATAATAATAAATGCGTGAAAAAAGAGTCTAAATAGGGGTACAGTTGATCGAGGGGCACAGTGAATAAGGGGCATTTTCTCAAAGATTAGGATTTTGTTCATCATGATAATGTAATCATTTTATGCGCTCACATATCAGCCATCTTTATTTATAGTTGTTATCACATAATTAATGACTACCGGTCTGTGATTGGTAAATTTTGTTTTTAGCTAACTAAAGTAAATTTTCTAACCTTCCTTATATTTGTTATGGAGATCATGGTTGGAATAATTTTAAAAGTTATAGTTTTTTATTCAGATTATTGATATTTTTCAATCACACTCATGTCGCAAGAAATTAGACTTATACTTAATTTGTTATAGTGGGGCACAGTGAATCGGGGTACAGTGAATCGGTTGATTCACTGTGCCCCATTAAAGATCCTAAAGATTAAATTCATGCATTTTTAACAAACAAACTACATGAAAATAATTTTATTAGTTTCAAGTGTTGAGATGTTGTGTTATTTTTATTGTATTACTTTTTATAATAATTTTTTTTTAACAAATTTTGAATATAAAAATATAATAGATAAAACCCTATATGGAGTAGCTTTTTTTAATTTCATGAAGTAACAGAAATTTTTAAGTAATCCTTTATTATGGCTTTATAATATTTTATGTGTATTATTATTCTGAAAAAATAGTTTAACAAAATTTTGCTCACATAATTTCTTTACAGCTAATAATGATTTTTTATGCTTTATTTGTTTTAGTTATAATATAATATGGTTCGAAATCGAAAGCATATTGACAAAAAAATTGGTAACACAAGTTCTGTATACATGAAGGATGCGGTGCGTATGGTTATTAAAAAAGGGAATAGCATTTCTGCTGTAAGCAAACATAGTAAAATTGCATTTTCAAGTTTACGACGATATGTGGAAAAAGCTAAACAATATGGTCTTGATGAAGTAAAATACACACCTAACTATAAATGTTGACAGATTTTCACAAATGAAGAAGAAATATTGTTAAAAGATTACGTAGTGAAGGCCTCCAGGATACATTATGGATTTACTCGCACTCAGTTAAAAAAATTAGCTTATGATTTTGGTGACCACAACAGGAAAATTATTCCACAATCATGGAAAAAACTAACTGCTGGAGAAGATTGGTTGTATGGTTTTATGAATAGATTTAAAGATCTTTCTTTACGTAGACCAGAAGCAACTAGTTTGTCACGTGCAACAAGTTTTAATAAAACAAATGTTGCTGATTTTTTTAAAAATCTGGAAGAAATTCTTAGAAAATATAATTTTAATCCGAATGACATCTATAATGCTGATGAGACAGGTTGTTGTACAATACAAAAAGTGGGGAATATAAAAGTAATTGCCTGTAAAAAAAATAAGCAAGTTGGAAAAATTACTTCAGCAGAGAGAGGTACTCTGGTTACAAGGCTTGCCGCAGTAAATGCTATAGAAAATGCTATTCCACCATTCATGGTGTTTCCTAGGATGCATTTTAAAGACTTGATGTTACATGGTGCTCCACCTGGAACAGTCGGAACAGCTCACGTGTCAGGTTGGATGACAGCTGCCAGTTTTTATTTATTTATGAAACACTTTATTACATCAACAAAATGTTTAAATAACCATCCCGTTTTATTGATTTTGGACAATCATAGGACACATCTTTCTATTAAGACAATTGACCTAGCAAAAAAAAAAAGGAGTTGTCATGTTGACATTGCCACCTCATTGCAGTCACAAGCTACAACCTTTAGACAAAACTGTCTATGGACCATTTAAAGCCTTTTATAATCATGCTGCAAATTCTTTTATGGTGAACAATCCAAGTAAACACATAACAATTTATGACATTTCAAGCTTGGTTGGTATTGCTTTCCCTTTAGCATTCACGCCTAAAAATATAGTGTCAGGATTTCAATGTACAGGGATTTTTCCATTTAATCCAATGATTTTTAGAGATGAAGACTTTCTTAGCTCTTATGTCACTGATCGGCCAATAGAACAATTGGATGTTAATTTCCAAGTTCAAAATCAAATGACTCCATCATATCATAATGTTGAACTTTCAACTTCCAACTTTAAAGAATTCATTATACCAGGATCTTCAACCACAAAATTATCCCCTGAAGAAATAACCAGAGATGTAGTCAAGACAGTAAAGGCCAAGACCAAGACTAAGACCAAGACATTTAGGCTCAAAACCGAGACCAAGACCAAGACTGAATGCTTCAAGACAAAGACCAAGATCAAGACATTAAAAAATCAACCCAAGACCAAGACCAAGACTTTAAAAGTTTTTACAAGACCGGGATCAAGCATGAAAGAGTCACGTCACTACTAGCACCACCATTTTGGTCCAGCTGTTCTTGAGGTTCCTCCTCTTCTACTGTTGGGGTCAAATAAAATAATAAATAAATTTTGAGTAGAAGGTGCCAATAGATCTTGAGTGGTTTGCGACTTTACTATAATGGCCGAAACCTCTGCTGTTATAAGAGCTGAAAAATCAATATTTTCAACGTAAAGCATAAAAAGAAAACAATGAAAATTTAAAACTGACAACTTATAACAGAATTATTAGAATATAGTTATACTTATAATAATTTCGTTATAATCAACAAACCATCGTTAGTTTTTTATCCATTCGACAATAACTTAATAGTTCAATAAAAATAAACAAAAATAAGACTTTTTTAACTTACTCGCAATATGTTCACGAACAAATCTTTTGACATCATCTGGTCCAGGATGGTCTTCCTCTAGCCAAAGTAACGAATAACTGGGATCTAAGGCTGAGGCCATTAGGTAAAGCATTGGAGAAAATTTAGGTTCTTCTTAATTTTGTCACCTGTTGGCAAAATTTTGACATTCTGCAACAATCCACCAAATCTGTCACACAAGGAGCTCAACAAACCGTTAACCAGTGGAATGTGATACTTGACAGTTGAACTGAGTGTGTTAAGACACTTATGCAGGCCAACAATTGAAGGCACAACGCATCCTATTGTTGGATAGCTATCACCCTGTAACAAATCTGTAGCCTCTGCAAAAGGCTGAAGAATTTCTACTAGCTCACGCAACATTGCCATCTCACGTTGTGTCAAAATAAGATTACTATGGTCTCCTCTGAGCAAATCCGAAAGTTTTACAGGATCCAAACTGATAATACTGAACAAACCTGATAAAGCTGAACAAACATGCTGTCCCACCTTGTAGCATTGGTTTTTGGTATAGAGCGTCCTTTTCTAAACTTTGACTCAAAATTTCCACGGAAAAGCGTACTTTGATGTGTTAAATTTGCCAGCTTTGAGCATTTAGCTAACAAACTGTTAGCTGTTTTCAGATGAGTTAGTCCACCTTTTACACACAGCTGCAAAGAATGCGCATAGCAGGCCAATCTTTCAGTTGCATGTTGCTCGATAGCTTCATTCACAATGAGTTGAAATTCTTCATGCAGATCATTCCACATTTCTTCGTCATCAACTATAACAATATGTCTAGATTCATCTTCACTCTCATTAGCCTGTAATTCACTGAGCACATCAAAAGCTTTTTTCATATTTGAGGCGTTATCAGTTACAACACATCCTAGCTTTGTTCTGATTCGATTTTTCTCAATGATTTTATTTAGTTCATCTGCAATTAATTGACCATTATGCCTTCCTTTGACTGGACGAAAAGCCAAAAGAAAATTTTGGAGCTTGCCATCAGAAAAGTAGTGTCCCGTACAAGCAAGATATGAATGCATCCTTCTATCAGTCCATATATCAACAGTCATTGCTATATGCCCAATGGACTGAACTTGTTTTGAAATAAGTTCTCTTTTTTCTTTAACAGCCTCTGGTATTAATTGAGATGTTAGATGGCTTCGTGATGGTAGTATGTACTTGTTATTCATATCGCAGATAAATTTCCGAAAATTTGAATTCTCGACAAGAGATAATGGAAGTGAGCAACCAACAATAAGGTTTGCAACTAAGGAGTCTGTAATTTTAATTTGGTCAGAATGTTTCGATCCGTACGAACTATTCTGTTTTGTGAAGAATGTGTCAATAATTATTTGTTTGCGATTGAAATTAATATGTTTCTGTGCCACATACTCTGCGTGTTTTTCAGGGTGAACATTACTATAATGTCTAAAATAAAAAAATTAAAAAGTTGAAAGGTATAATAATTTTAATAATTTAAATAATAATTTAAATAGACAAAATACTTTTTGTTTTCTAAAAACATCGATATATTTGAACTTTTTTTTTTGTTTTTTATTTTTAATTGTTAATCTAAGAAAATGGGTCCTAACAAATGAGAGGGTCGGCATATTTAAAAACCTCAAATTTAGAAACACATGAAAACAAAAACAAAAAAGGTAGATTTACTTAGAAGAACAAAGTAATTTTTTTTAAATAAACAATATATTGTTAATCTTTGATGAAGAACCGAAACAATAAAGATTCTTTATTATATCTGTCGAATTCTTTCAAACTAAAGCACTTCTTCTTTTTTCTAAATTTAAAAATAAGCTAGTTTTTTAATTATTTTAAAGACTTTAAATCTATGGTGGAGAAAACCTTTTTTACGTAATGAAATAGTTCTCTTTTAAAAAACGTTTAAAAGAAAACTATTTCATTTTGTTAAAAAACGGAAAGAAGAATTTATTTCTTAAAGTAAAAATATTGACATTGACGTTCTTTCTAAATTATAAATTTAACCCGTTTGTTACCTTTTCCTTACAACTTTATTAACATGAGTGCTGCCTAAAATTTTTTTAAAACTTTTTCTGTTTTTGTTTTTTTGTTTGTTTGTTTTTGATTTTTTTTCCATAATTATTATCAAACTTAAAACAAAAAGTTACCATGATTTACAATTACTTAAGAAAAACTTAAAAGTGTATCATACAAAAACAGTTTTTAAAATTATCAAAATAGGATAGCACCACCTTAAGAAGATAAAGGCATTATTGCAATATGGCATACCAAGCAGCAAATACTAACATACCTTGTGTAGCTAGAAGTTGTACCTTTAGTTTCAGTTATTGGCTCTTTACAAATATTACACTTAGCATGAGTTTTGAACTTAACTTCGTCTTCATTTACTTGATGACTTTCACGAAAATCACAATAACCAAATTTAATAATTGCGGGAAATTTATTAGCCATTTTGACAGTTTAACAAAGGTATGTTCAAAGGAAAAAACTTTTTCTACATACAACTCGTCGCATTGTTTGACAAGGTTCAAAGTAATTGTTTTTTTATATAAGGAGAATAGCAAATAAAACTTTTTTTTCTTTTTTTTAATGTCTAAATACAAATTTTTATGGATTGATTTTTTACTTATTTATGCCTTTTTAAACATTGATCACAAAAAGAATACATAAACAAATAAAAAAATAATAATATAAATTATTTAAATTAAACATTTTTAAAAAAAATCTAAAAGAGTTTTTCTTAATTCTCCTAACATAAATTTAGAAATTTGTGAAACCAACGCGACGAGCTACCGTTAAGAGCGGGAAATTGCTTTTACTCAATAATTGGTCAGCTTTACGTGAATAAAAACTTTAAAAGTTTTCGTCAAATTTTATTCACGTAAAGTTAAGTAATTTACTCAGTAATTACTCAGCTTTACGTTAATAAAAACTTCGACAAGATTGCTGAAGTTTTTATTCACGTTAAGCTGACCAATTACTTAGTAAAAGCAATTGCTTCTTTTTATTCACCCGGCCTATTGAGTTGATATTTGTCGTAAGAGCCAAGAAAGTAAAAGTCAATAGAGGTCCGAGACCAAGACCAAGACCAAGACTCTAGACTTCGAGACCAAGACTAAGACCAAGACTTTAGGCTTCAAGACCAAAACCAAGACCAAGACAGTGAAATATGTGTCTCGAGGCGTCTTGAGACCAAGACTTTGGTCTCGAGACCTACATCTCTGGAAATAACCCCCTTACCACAAGCACCACCAAGAAAAGACAAGCACCACCACAAAAAGAGGTGGAAGAAAAAAAGGAAAAACATTAGTTTTAACAGACACTCCTGTAAAAGAAGGGCTTCGTCAAACAGAAAGATATATGTTTACAAAGAAAAATAAGACTAAGCAGAATTGTAAAAAACGATTGCAGCTAAAAGTTGCAGCCAAAAATGCTTGCAAAAAGATACCTTGTGTAAGTCCATCTAATGAGGCAGGTTTCTTGAGTTGTGACTTAACAGATAGTAAAATGGATAGAAGTAGTGGTTTTACAAATGAGACTCTCAAAACCAAAACAAACTGATTCCCAGTGATTACGTTTTAGTCAAACTTGCTGCTAAAAAAAAATTAGTTGTTTATGTTGGGAAAATTATTAGCACTAAGCACAGTGAAGACATTGATAAAGGTTTTTTTGAGATATCGTTTTTTCAACGAAAAAAGCCTTCATTTTCCTTTATTCTTCTTACAGTTGATTATATTTCTGAAACGTCACTTCAAGATATTCTTGGAAAATTACCCAGACCACTACTACGTGGAGGGACTGCTAGAGTTCCTCGTCATTTTATCTTTCCTGTGGACTTAACAGCTTATGATGATGCACTTTGTTAATTTGTTTTATTTTTAAAAAATGTTGTTTTTTTAGATTGTTGAATAAGTTTTGTTATCAATAAAGTTCTTTTTTTTTTCTTCTCATTTTTCAAAATGTTTATTTTTTCGATTATATACTAATCTAATTACTAAAAGTATGCCAAAAATAGTGTACAGTGTCTTTACTCCCTCAGCCTCAAAATTATTTTGCTACGCCCCTATTCGCTACCATTAGTTCACAGTTGGGTTCATTAATTCACTGTGCCCCAAGTAGTTATTCACTGTACCTCAGTACTGGGGCACAGTGAATAACGTAACACAACTCACTTTAAACCTTTCTGTGAGCCGTTAGATAATAAATATTTAGGTTTTTGTAATTTATTATCATTAAGGACATATATCTCAATCTTTTCGCCTTGAAAAAAATAAAATACATATTTTAACTTTTGCTCAATTTAAAAAATAAAGAAATCCGATCCACTGTGCCCCAACTTCCCCTACTATAAAATACAATAGCTATTAGACTTTGAAATAGTAATATAATACATCAATGTACTTATTGTAATTGTTTTACATCACAGCAATACAAGACAATAGTTAATGTCATTGTATTACATCACAGCAAAACAATACAATAGTTATTGTCATTGTTTTACATCACAGCAATACAATACAATAGTTAATGTCATTGTGTTACATCACAGCAAAACAATACAATAATTTTAGAGCTTCAATGTATTGTTAGAAGAAAAAAAAACAATACAATAGTTATTGTAACTGTTTTTATTCACAGCAATACCATAACCACAAATAATGTTTTAATTGCACCTCTGGTATTACAATACAATACTATTGTATTGTAATTGTTATTGTATTTAATTTTTACAACAACAATAAGTTCTAACCCTAGTTTTCCCTACTGCATTGGAAAAACGTAAATGCTTCTGCAGACGCTAATGTAGCTTATGACGCATTCTTTAAAACTTTTTATGAAAAATACGACGTAAATTTTCCAAAATGTACTGTAATTAAAAAAATAAAGGTTTAATGTCACCGTGGATTACAAAAGATCTCAGAAAATCTTCTAAAATTAAGCAAAAATTATATATTAAATACTTGAAAACAAAAACACAAGAAAGTAAGATTCTTTACAAAAATTATGTCAGAAAGTTTGAAACACAAAGAAAGAATTTAAAAAACTGTACTACTCCAATCTACTTGAAACGAACAAACATAATTCTAAACGCACCTGGGAAATTCTGAGAGAAGTTACTGGCATGCAAAACACAAAAACATGCGCACTACCTGTAATCTTAAAAATTAATGATGATTTTTTTTCCAATCCAACAATGATATGTGATGAATTAAATAAATTCTTTGTGTCAGTTGGCCCAAATCTTGCTAAAAAAATTCCTTTTGTAATAAACAAAATTGATGGATAACTTTGATTTTCCGTTAACTTCGTCTCTAACTTTCTTTGAATTATCTTTTGAAGAATTTGAGCAACCTTTTAAAATCCTAAAGTCTCATAAATCTGTCGGTCACGACGGTATATGTAGTAAAGTGGTTATTGACTCGTATGAACATTTGAAAGATGTACTATTTAAAGTTTTTCACTGTTCAATAAAACAGGGAATATTTCCAGACCATCTTAAAATAGCCAAAGTCACACCAGCCACATAGCCACACCAATTTTCAAAGAAGGTTACTACTAATCTTACAAATTATCGCCCAATCTCTGTTTTACCTGTTTTTTCTAAAGTATTAGAGAGGATCCTATATAACGTAATTTATAATCACCTTTCTTTAAATAATATACTTTATACTAATCAATACGGGTTCAAAAAAATTACATTAACAGAACACGCGATACTCCATATAACTCGTAGTATTTCTGAATCGTTTGAAAATTCACAATATACGTTGGGAGTTTTCATAGATTTATCAAAAGCTTTTGATACATTCGATCACCAAATTCTCCTTAATAAAAGTTAAATATTATGGAATTAAAGGAAACGTTTTAAAGTTACTTCAAAGTTATTTAAGTAACCGCAGACAGTTTGTTTATAGTAATGAAGTTAACCCATCTATTTTATTAAACATAACCTGTGGGGTTCTGCAGGGCTCGATATTAGGACCCCTTCTTTTTCTTATTTAAATTAATGATCTTCATAAAGCTTCTAATTTGATGTCAGTCATGTTTGCCGATGACACTAACCTCTTTTTATCTTATAATAGCATAACTACATTATTTCGAGATATGAACATGGAATTAACAAAAATATCTGATTGGTTTAAAATGAATAAACTTTCACTAAATGTTGAAAAAACAAAATGGACACTTTTTAATCCAGCGTCTAAAAAAAACTACTTCCTTGCGAGCTTCCTTCACTTTTTATTGATGAAATCCAAATAAAAAGAGTAATTAGTGCTAATTTTTTGGGTATCTATGTTGATGAAAACCTTAGTTTGAAAATATCACATTGAATTCTTGTGTAATAAAATTGCTAAAAGTATATATATATATATATATACGTAGTCTAATTCAATTATATTTCTTTTTTATCCATTGTCATCTAAACTATGCAAATATTGCTTGGTACAATGCCAATAAATGTAAACTGGAGCCTCTTTATCGTCAACAGAAGCATGTTGCTCGTCTTATTAGTTTTAAAAACAGGTTTACTCATGCCAAGCCTCTTTTATTTGAAATGAAAATTCTTAATATATATCAGCTGAATGTTTTTAATATTCTTTGTTGTATGTATAAATGTAAAACTAACTCTTCCCCAGTTTCTTTCCATAATTTATACACGCTGAAATATAAAAATAAATACAATTTAAGAAATGATAATTTACAGGGTTTATGCGAAATATGAAACATTTTTTAAAAAAATATAAAACATTTTTTAAGAAAATATAAAACATTTTTAAAGAAAATATAAAACAAATTTTAAGCAAATATAAAACATTTAATTTGTTAATTAAATGTTTTATATTTTTTTATAAAACATTTAATTAAAAATTTTAGAATTACGTCATTACTCTATAAAACTATGGAATTTATGTGGTTTATTCATAACAAAGAAGAGAACTGTAAAAATATATTATTTAAGCTTTATTTTGTTGTTTTCTTCGATAAATGGAAAACAAGAGAAAAAGAAACACTTATTACAAAAGATATTGTGAAAACCATAAGAAAGTTAATTCTTAAAGAAATGAAGTTAAAAGAAATTGCAGAATAAGTTGAAATTTCAGTTTCTGCAACACGTTCTATTTCTGATAAAATCTGAAAAGGATTTAGTGATGATGAAACCGCATCAGTAAAAAAAGGAAGGCGCAGCCCTCAAGACGAGACACTTAAATCTGAAATTCGAATGTTAATTAAGCATAATCCATCTTATACGTTAGCATTATTGAGAAACATTCTCGTTGAAAGGAATATTAAGCATCTATACCAACAATATCTAAATATTTGAAGTTGACGGAGTTCACTAGAAAACGATTTGCATTAGTACTAAAAGAAAGGAACTCATCGCAAAATATTGATTTGAGACAAAGTTTTTGCAGGACTATTTATTCGACTCCTGACAATAACTTAGTGTT